CCACTGCTTTGCCATCATCTAGCCACCTGGTGTTTGTTATGGCACTTCATGCAAGTCAGGAGAGCTCTGGCAGTTTGTAGTAGTTGAGTATGCATCCTTTAGAACTTAGCAAAGTTTTTTTTGCTTATGTATTTCACGTTTTTGTTGAGTAGCTTTAGATTCATAAAACCATTTGTCTTGCAGCCAGACTTGTCTTGTAAGATGGAATAAACAAAGGATCTTCTCACTTTCACAGAGCTCTTGAGATTTTACACAGTAAAAAATCAGACAATGTTTCACGTGTTTGCAGCATTAGTACAATGAAGGCAAATATGCCAGAATACTTTTAATTTTCACTTATTTCCCAGAGGCAACCAATTTAATAGGTGTTCCATATAATTAAGGCTGTCCAAGTTGCATTTCTGTGAGCTAAATAACATATGCAGATAATTACCGTGTGTTCCCAAGAGAAAGATGCTAACATATAAACTCCATAATCTGATGCCAGTATGAGCAAGTTTAACATTTGCAGTAGTTACCATTAGTAGTAATATCTTGTTTATAACAATGCTGTTGAGAACCGTAAGTGGAGATATCAAAGTCCGGGAGCCAAGCTAATATTGTTCAAAAAAACCCTTGAGGACTAAATTAAAATGCTTTTATGTTGTCATGGGGACATAATACTACATAAGATTAAAAGATATCTGACTTTCTGTGGCACTTTGATGCCCTCCCTTCCCATTGTGTCAAAGTACCTTCCTGTCTTTTTTCTTTTTTTTTAATTGCAACATACACTGGATGAGAAGAAAGAAAATGTGCAAATTCTTTTTAACAAATTATCATCTGATGCAGGGAATATGAATGAATAACAGTAGAAGCTGTGACTAGAAGCGTGTGGCATTGAAAATCTGAGGCAGGTGCCTTACCGGTTGAATGATACATCCTTCATGGAGTATTCGCATCCCATTCCTCTGAAATGTCAGATGTGAACTGCAGTATAAGTGTGTCTGTATTCATACATAAAAGCCTGTCCAGGCTATTGAGAGCACCTTTCCTATAACAGAATAGTCCTTCAATTGTTTTGTTCCAACAGATTTTTTTTTTTTCTGTGAAAGAGCCTGATTTTTTTTCCACAGAAATGTCTTTATTTTTGTCCAGGTTTCCAGATCAACATGTAAACCTTCAGGCTTTCAGTGAAAAATTCTAGGAATGTGGTTTGTTTCCCTTTACACTGTAACATGTTGGAGCCTGATCTGAGGTTAGGCTTCTTGCACTGTAATGGCAAACAGTAGAAAGTAAACCTGTGGATACTGCTTTCTCTTTGCTTCAGATGAAATCTCATTGCCTTCACTTGTGGTACTTTTAACAGTGATTTTCTCCTCCTGTAGGGTTTGATGTTTGGTTATGCAACAGATGAGACAGAAGAATGTATGCCTCTAACAATTATTCTTGCTCATAAACTGAATGCCAGGTTAGCAGAGCTGAGACGTAATGGAGAACTTCCTTGGCTGAGGCCTGACTCTAAGACACAGGTAAATACCACTATGAATAGTCCAGATAGTTGAAAACTAACACTTTTTTCCTTCCAGAAATCTTAAATATTGTAAAAACCAGCAATTGATGACATTCATAGTATCAGAATTCCTACTACATAACCTACAAGTAGCAGATAAAGCATTTCCACTGTTTATGGTACTGTCTCCTTGACTGTTGGAAAATGGTTAACCTGTACCAGAGTGGTAGAAGCACTTAACCACCTACCAATGAAGAAACATTTAACCTTTCAAACTTAAGTGTTCCACACACATTCAAAAAGTGACAGGAGATCCAGAGGATTTATTTGTATTTAGGGATTTTGGCTGGCCTTTTTGAAGATGCACTGAGAACGTGAATTTCTGAAGCTTGGAAGTTTCACTGGAAATCCCAACTGAAAGACACATTTTGGACAATTTCATAGAAAATCAAATTGTCCATATTGAGTCTTTCAATTTTATTTTTTTATTTTCTCAGCACTGTAAAAACAAAGAATGAGAAAACAGGCTTAATTTCTCATACCTTGGCTGTTAACAATGTGAGCAATGATAATTATGTCAGCATTGATATTTTGCTACAATTTTTTCTCTTGGAATAGTATAGCATGATGTTTGATGTAGACAAGTAATATGTTTTATAGCAACTTTTTTTTTTTTTTTTCTTCCTCCTTCTCCCTGTTCTATTCAGGTCACAGTTCAGTATATCCAGGAGAATGGAGCAGTCATCCCAGTGCGTGTTCACACCATTGTGATATCTGTGCAGCATGATGAAACTATTTCACTGGAGAATATGCGCAGAACCCTGAAGGATCGCGTGATTCAAGCTGTTGTCCCTGCAAAATACTTGGATGAGAAAACAGTTTATCACCTTCAACCTAGTGGACGTTTTGTTATTGGAGGGCCTCAGGTTTGTGCTGTATTATTTTGGTGCTTTTGACAGCTTGACTTTGTCATTGAGTGCATGTTTTAAAAGAAATGCTCAGCTTTTTGGCATGTCTGTCCTAAGGTGTGAGAAACAAGTTGTCTAGTGGTAGTTTTAACTGCAATTGTGTGGGGGAAAAGCACTCAGGGTTTCAAGTGCTGTATTCCAAAGTAACCTTTAAGGGCATAGTTATATTATACATATGTTGTGACTAAGCAGGCAAGTTGAGCTGAATCTTGTATTGAGTGTGGAATGTACAGCCTAGCTATTGGTTTCCTCAAACCCTTTCAAGTCCAGCACTGAGTGAGACCCAAACCTTTCTCACAGAAAGCGTGCCTTACAGAGAGATGGACAGAATGTTTACTTCTCTTGCAGAGAACCTGGTTTTCAGATCTGTATAGCTCACACTGTAGTGCCTGACACCAATGAGAGCTGAAGATGTTAATCTGTTCTGAAAATCAGTCCCCCTGATAGGCTTCTCCTGGTGAGAAAATAAATGTTGCTTTTGCTTTAACTAGGCAATGCAGGAGCTGGGATTTGTAGTTTGATCCTGTAATCATAGAAGTCAGGCAGAACTTCCATTCTCTGTAGGATCAGGACTTTTGAGATTTAGTTTTTGAAAACAAATTTACCATTCCCAATGTTTTGGTCTTCAATTCCTTTCAGAAGTATCACAGCAAAATTTCATTTCTTTTTTCTGAAACTATGTAAAATTTTACAACAAATCCAAGTAGACATTGTTTTTCCTTTGCTGTTCATAGTAATTCATTTACTGGAATTTGCCAGAATTATTTTTAAAGTGCTGCATTTTTTTTTACACTAGTGCCATGGAACAGATGGGAAGATGTTGAGATCAATCATTATACTAATGATTATACAAAAAATGTATTTTTGTGTAGTTGAATTGGTTGTATCACTGTAATTTTGTGTATCATTGACATCCTAGACTATGGACAAATGGAGACGCAAACTTGAGCTGTAACTTGGAGCAATGAACCAATGCAGCAATCATAGTTACATGCAAAAAGAAGGCTACATATATGAAAATTTTGAGATATGGACTGAACTGCATCCTTTGAAAATGTAAATTTTTCAGGTGTGCACTGAACTGCACCCATTTAAAAATGTAATATAATTATATTTGATAAGCCAAAGGAATACCTTTTCAACTCTTGTGGTGGAACTGTATTGCTTATGTTTGCACATACAAACACAGGCACATTGCAGTGTATGTCTGCAGCTTTTTAAACCTGAGATAAGTTTACTTAGTGTGGGTTAATCTGCCTGTGTGTCCATGGCCTTACAACTGCTATCATCACTTGTGCAATTTACAATAGCATTGCAGCAACCAGAAAATAACAATTTATTTTTTTTGTCTTTTATGTCTTGAACTTTACAATTACTTTTAATAAGAGTATTACTAAGTTTTATTTTTAACAACACTAGCTATGGAAGGCTGTCTTAATCTTCAGCTCAGTTAATCTAAGGAAAACACATATATTTCACTCGGGATTTTCACCTTACGTTTTCAAGCACGGTGGTACTTTGAATTCTGGCTATACCAAAATTAGTAATTTTGCTGCTGTCACCAATAGCAACACCCACTGGTTCTATGAGGACATTACAGCTCATCGTAAAAGTGATTTCCACATGCTTTACTAATGCATTTTTGTTCTTCCAACACCTTTAAAATGAGGGTTTTTTTTTTTTTTTCCTTTCACCTGTCCATTTCTCTTCCTCTCACTCAGTTCTGCAGTCAAGTTATGATGGCTCACGAGGTGTTCTCATTGTGACTCTCTGTGCCACCAGAAATTAAGGTTTGAGTCAAGCAGAATAACCTCAGAAGTACAAGATCCTTTGGACAAGCTTAGCTACCTGCAACTCAGATTTGCCTCATTGCTTTCTTAGCAGAATGGAACAAACAGTGCCAAAGGTTTTCTTCTGTGTATATGCACAGTCTTTCTAAGAAAAAGTTTGATTCTCCACTTGTGTTTGCTGTGCAAACATTCTAGCCGTTCAATTTAACTGACATGATATTCTGTAGAATTTCAAACCTGCCTGCACAGATGGAGACTGAATTTCTAATTTGACCATGTTTCCATTCATGCCAGAAGGCTTAAGCATTTAGTAAGTCGAGTGTCAAACAATTAGTCAGGTACTGATCAGCTAACCGAGATCAAATGAAAATATCAAGTACTTGTGAGGTGCAATCAAACTAGCTTTGTATGCAGCTAGAAGGTCATCTCTGCTTCCTTATTTAATATTTTAGAATATTCTTCTACAAGTATATTTTCTTAGAAAGAAATAATTCTTCTTTCTCAATTACTTATAACTGCCTACCACTCCCTATCTGTTGTATATAGTTTAAATTATGGGGTTGGAAATATTAATATTAAATATTTTGGGGTTGGAAATGTGATTTTAGTATGTATTTGTATGACAGTCCCTGTAATGACATTGCACTGGAAGTGTTTGGTGTAAGCCTCCATATAATGGTGCATAAGGTAGCACTGGCATAACTTTCAGTGGTAAATGCAGAAAAGAAATAAACTAGTTAATATTCAGACAACTTCAGATTTTGATCAAAAGATATGAAAGCCTGATTTTATTTTTTTTACATTTTTTTTTAACAGTGTAAAATTTCTATATGGCATGTAGTTTGTCAGCAATATTGAGTTTGGATGCAGTAGGTATAGCTAACTTTTAAACCAAAGTTCCTGTATTATCTGGAGTATTTACTTTCAAAACAGGCAGTGTGTGCTCCTGCTGTCTGTGTATCAACCTGTTTGCTTGACTACCAAACACTATTTGTGAATGGCTTGTCTTCTGAATCTGGCTTTAAAGAACATTTATAGCCACTGTTCTAGCTCGGTGAGACAAGATCTTTCCTTCAGCTATTTCACAGCAATCCATATGTGGTGAGCTTACTCACACGTTGTTATACTATGCTGAAGGAGTCATAGCCTTGTTTGAGAGTTATAATAGAATGGATTGTAAAATGTACAAATTTTTTTACTGATTCAGGGTGATGCTGGTGTTACTGGTCGAAAAATCATTGTAGATACTTATGGTGGCTGGGGAGCCCATGGAGGTGGTGCCTTTTCTGGCAAAGACTACACGAAGGTGGACCGATCAGCTGCATATGCAGCCCGTTGGGTGGCCAAGTCTCTTGTGAAAGCTGGGCTCTGTCGCCGTGTTCTGGTTCAGGTATGGTTTGCTATGAATGTTGCTTCTCTCAGAAAGATTTTTCCTTTTCAACTTTACCTTGAATACACTTTATATGAGACACTGTAGTAGAAGCAGTGTTGGTGATGGCTTGGGGCTGAAGAAAGGAAAACCTTGATGTGCTTGGTTCAAGACCACTGTAAAGTCACTAGTAACCTATGAGCTTCTTGAAGCTGGAACTTTTCATTTAGCTTTCATTTTATTGGCTATTTTTCTGGACACTGATTGAGTCCTCAGTCCTCTGATACTTACTGTCATGTAAATGAGCATGGAGTAACTGGATAATGTGGAAGAAAGTTGTCCAGAGATCTCAGCATTTTCAAAGTTTTCTCTCTTTTTTTTCTACAAATACAAATTGCACAAATATGGGAAGTGGAAGAGAGGCTTTAGTTTTCCTAAGATGGTTCATGAGTGAAAGCTTTCTTCTGCTTCATACTGTTGCCCACTGAGGTGCCATGTTCATTTGCTATGGTGTCTTTTTTGCCATAGGTTTCTTATGCCATTGGGGTAGCTCATCCACTGTCCATTTCACTATTCACTTATGGAACTTCCCAAAAAACAGAGAAAGAGCTGCTGGACATTGTGCACAAAAACTTTGATCTTCGGCCTGGAGTCATTGTCAGGTACAGAAACATACAAAAGGAAAATATCTTGGTGATACTATTCTAGAAATTATTTCTTGCAAAACTGTTAGATGTTACAATGTAAGAGTCAGCCTTTTGAACTAGCATGGGATTATTCAATGTAGTACAAAAGAGACTTTCTGTCATTCTGTCATTCTGTCAGTCTTCACAGTTGATACTTTTTATGGATCTACCAGTATGCTGTACCTTTTAAGATAGCAGATGTACTTTTCAAGTTTCATATGAAACATATACTTCCAGCATTTGGCCTTATATAGAATGTGATTCAAATTCAAATAAAATAACTTTTATATTCCAAGAATTTTAAGTTACTTTGCTGTGAAAAAAAAAAGATATGTTTTGTTTTACAAAAGGAATTGAAGGTTATTTCATATTTTCTGTTAATAATTCTCAATAATAAGGACTTTTCCTGTAGCCCTAAAGTACTTCACATTTAAGTTTTCTTGTCACTTTTAAGGGTCTCTATTGGACGTGTTTACTGGTATGCTTGCATCTCCAGAACATGCTTTCTTGACTAAGGGCATGAAATGCATACCAACATCAAGACTTTAATGGTAGTTATTATTAAGTACCTTAATGTGAAGAATTTTCTCTTCTTGTTGTTATGCACACAGGGATTTGGACCTAAAAAAGCCCATTTACCAGAAGACTGCATGTTATGGTCACTTTGGAAGAAATGAATTCTCATGGGAGGCGCCTAAAAAACTGGTGTTTTGACACTAGCAGTCACCCTCTAAAAACAGAAAGGAAAAGAAGTCCAGTAATGACGAGGATGCTTCCAGAAAACAAATTTGACAGCTTTGTACTCATCAAAAGGAATTTTAGATTTTCAATGGAAAGAAAGAAAGAAAAAGATATTTTCTTGGAAATTGATTTTTTTAACCCTCAGTGTCTTTCATTATGTAAGATATAAAGGACAGAGTCTGTTTGTTTTTTTTTTTTTAATCAGCATAAGACAACAAAATACAGTTTACTTTTTACTGCTGCTCTGTTGGTTCTTTTGATAAAGGCAAAGTATGACTCAGTTGCTCAAACCAATGGCTGAACCTCAAACCTTTCATGGGCAAAGGCAAAGAAGGCTTTCCAAACTCTGACTAAGGATCAGCAGATCTCTTGCTTCTGATTAGACAACAGGAAATTCTCGGGTCCAATTTCCTTACTGGAGTTAGCATTGCATACAGCTAGGGGTTGCTTTGATGGAAGGCTGAATATCACATAACTGTATGTCAACCTCTTTTGTAGAAGATATTAACATACATATAATATTTAAATCACTTTCACTGGGTATGTGCTGTTACTGTTGTGTTTCAAATAACTGTGTTTTTGAAACACAAGTGTTCTCCTATCAATCACAGAATAAAAAGCTTTTTCCTACTATGTATATAAAGGTGCTTCTTTTTCTGTTTTTCAAATGTTGTAGTATGATAGTCTATCTCAACTCAACCTCTTATACACTTGTACAGTATTAGTTTACCAACATAACTGAATTTTATTAGATTTTGGAACTGTGATGCGAATTTATCTTTCACTGTACGTGTGATCGATCATTGTTTAGTCCTTGTGATTAATAGAAACTCGGTGAAAAAGTATTAGATTTTTATTTCTCACTCAGGTTTGTGCTATACAGTATTCTCTCGTAATTTTTGCTCTCAAGCATTAGATTTATTGCATGGTTTACGAAGCTTGATGTAAATTTGGAATAAAATAAGTGCAAAACATTAACAAGTTCTATAGCATGAGGCTAACATTTGGACCAC